CCCTGCTTCCTGAAAAAGATGGGACTCTCAACAAGTTGAACGTTTCCTTCACCAATAGCTGCGGCCCGACCTTTACAACTCCTATCCATGCTTGGATCTTCAACATTTTGAATGAAAAAGCTGCCCAAGTCTGACAATCATTCCAAGGACGAAAACACCAGGAGCCTTGACTCCTCCCCCAAACCAGAATCCCTGAGGCAAATGTACATAAAGTATCATAAAGTCATGACCTACTTCCAATCACCTTCAAACCCGCTGAGTGGTAAACAAGTGCATCATTCTTCATCTGTCATTGTTCTTGGAATCTTCATCACTGGGCCGCCAAGCCATCGCACCACCTCGAAGGCGCAGAATGCTGCAGAACCAGAACATTTGCTTTTCCCAAGCAGGGCTGGAAGAAGAAGTTGTCTATTTTCTTGAAGAACAAGAAACTTGCTTCTCAGGTATCACGTATCTCCATCTTTGGTTCGTTCAAACGACTATGTCAAGTCAGAAAGTCCTTGCATTGCTGTCGTCGGTTCCACGGCCACCCCCGCCCAGAAATCAAACTACTAAGAAAGATACAGGTTGCTAAGCCGCGCCATTGGTTCTGCTTGCGAACCTGAAACATCAGCAAGGAGGCGAGGTCTTGGGCTGTGAAATGAAAGAGTTTCCTCGATGGAAGCTGAGAATGTTTGGGAATCGCTTGTCGCTTGCAAACAACATGTACGAAATCCCCAAACCTGTTGGGCCATTATTATGGCTGCAATGATCCACCCTGAAGAACATCTTTCACCATCGGCGACAGCGGCGCGCACCCCACCTGAGCCCAAACCTCACTATGAGCCTTGGTCCATTCCACCACCTGGTCGTGGAGGGTGTCTCAGCTCAAGCATTTATGGCCCAGTGGCACCCAACACGCTGTGATCAGATGGAGTCTGACACCACAATAGCTGTTCTTCACTTCGTAGGGTTCCCCTCCATCTGGACATCCCCACAAGAACCCGCTGGCCATCAACCGGTGCAAGCAGCTGCCATGGTGCGGTGCCCCCCCAAAAAAAGGCGGAGACCTCTAGCCTCTAGGCCTTAGGCCAGAAATCTGTCCGTTTCATTACGTTTATGTTGTTTCTCTAGAACACCCCAAACATCCCGAACCCAAAGAAGTCACGATCACCGCGATCCCGTTCATCACATTCATCACCGGGCGGCCTCTCCCACCACCACGGAGGTGTCGTCCATCTTGCCCCCCAAGCCGATTGGCGTGTCCGGCAAGCCATAGAGGCCCACCTCTCGTCCCACACCGCTGTGGGAGACTTGGAGACGACGTGCGGATGCAGGAGCCTCGTGTAGCGAAAGAAGTCCCAATCTGGCCTTTTTTCTCCTTTTTTCCTGGTTGCCCAGGGCTTCACCCAGCCCTCCGGCGCCTCCGACTTGGCATGGGCTTCGTCTACCAGGCGCCTCGCCAAGTGGCTCAAGAGCACGGGCTGCGTGGCCACCTCAGCGGTCTTGAAGATGGGAGACTCCTCTGGAATTCATCCTGATTCGATCATAATTGTCCATGCTTTTTCGTGGCCTGTGGCCAACTTTAAATGCTCCGTGCGTGAACTGAGAAGCCTAAAAATACGAGAGAGATACCGCAATACTGAGTGCATTCACACTCATAAGCATGACTCAGTCTGTGACTCAGTCTGCTAGTGAGGGTAGAGAGATCCTTCAGTCTTTAAATCAGGCAAGGAAGAATCCCAGAAAAAATCCATGAAGTTGTCAATACTTGGAGGTTGCACACTTGCACATGTCCACTACTTTCATCCATTTGCCATCTGGGGCCCAAACGAAAGGTCCAGGCTTTGGGATGGGCAACGTCTCGTTGACAATCTCTACGATCTGCGCAACGCAAACAGCACGGACCAACGGCCAACGATCTACGACCGAGTCTGGTGCCTACAAATGTTCAACTTTTGAAGGACCCTCGGTCATATGGAGACTCAAGAAATGTGGATGCGGTGTGAGTTGGCAGCTTGAAGCTTCATGCAGAGCTGAGCAGGCCGAGGACATTTCAGACCAGAACGAGAAGTCCAAACCCCACCACCCGCCTTCATCATTCCCATCCATCCGGGCGCGTTCTTCACCCGAGTGGTCGTCCTGAGCCGTCCTCGCCTCTTCAAGATAGAGGTTGTCAAAGACTCCATCGCTTCCCAAAACCTGGATTGAAAAACAAGAGAAATGGCCTCCAACCTAATAGCTGCCTCCACCCTAAGAGCGATGGCCTCGAACCTAATGCAAGATGTTTGAACTTCTAGGCAACCCTTCTGACTTTGACCAACCAAGTGATACCGCGCACTGCTCCAGAATCCAAAAATTATCGAAAACGGCACCAGGCTCTTCACCAACCCACGTCCGTGCAATTTGAGAAAGCCCCGTGAACCATCGGCCACTGCGATCACTGCGTAACAATCCCAGCCAACCATCGATCGACTCGCATGCCAGCTGGGCCAGGATGTCTCCCTCATACGCGGAGACACAGTGCACGGCACTTCCTCGTTCAATGACCTGCCACTATGCCGAGATGGCAACCATGTGGAAATTGGGATCACTGATCTCCTACACTCTGTGTTGGACCCGCAGGCTCGTGAATGGGTCAAGAGTTGGCATCCCAAAAAACTTCCCGGCAAAGGACAAACCAAGACATGTGGTCGACCGCAGGCGACTTGCAGCGCCGAAAGAGACTTCTTCTGGGTCCACCGGTTCAAAACGTTGGAAGGACACCTCCAGCGCCAGCTCCTCATCGAATTCGGGGTCCACGCGGTCCTGGCAGTCTGCGGAGAACGTCTGAGCCTGCAGGCCTGGGATGGAAACTTGAGAAATGAAAAGCAGAATCACAATGGTTTATCACAACAGTACAAGCAGTATCACAATACAAGCAGTGAAAAAACCATGGTTTTGGGCCAGTTTTGACTCAAAGCCGCATAAGCAACCATGAGATTGTTCCCCTGGGGACATGGCTCGTTTTTCTGAAACCAAACACCAAAGCCGGACCGAAAACCCACACGGCTCAAACACCAGTTGCTGCCAGGAGGCATCCACCCTAGCCAGCTGCAGTGGCGTCTGAGACTTAGAAAACGAGAAGTGAGCTGAAAGAAGACCACAGTGTCGAGAAGAAGTGACAAACTCCTCAAAAATGTGTATTTCTCCTTATAGACAAAAGAATGCCCAAAAAAAAGAATCGAGCAACGGAATTGTTAATGTCCCGACCGAGTTTGGCATCGTTCACCAGTCCCAAATGAACTACCCAACGTCGAAAGACTTGACATTCAACCAGCAATATCAACCAGAATGGGACTTGATCAACTCAACCAGACACAGAACCATGTGATCCTATGGGTGTTTCTGTCTATTAAATCCATTACATACCAAAAAATTCAACCACCAAAGTTCCTTTGCGCTTCCTCACCAACAACAAGCTCCTCCCGTCGTTCCCCTCTAAGAACGGCGTGTTCCCGAAGAGCTTGAGTTTCCCCACGTGGCCATCGATCCTCTGCATCTCCGTGTGGAAAACCTTGGCCAAACGTGGCCCGCACTCTCACGCTGCTCCAAACGAGTGCTGCATAAGTCTAGAATGGGGATCAAGAATGGGTACATACCCAGAAGTGCCTGCATGTAAACCAAACAGCTTCAAAATCAAAAACTTTGACTTGTGGATCCACTACCGAACAGACCAGATTCCGGTTCGTGGTAGATCTAATCTACGCAAGTCAAGCAAGACCAACATGAAGCGGCAAAGACCGGCATAGATTGATGTTCTGGCACCCATGACAGGACCGCCAGCAAGCCCTCGGTGATGGTGCTACAGCTGATGGTTGAAAACAAGATGCAAATCCTTGCGTTTTTTGAAGTTTGAGGAATTCCATCAAGCCAAGCGCCACCTCGTTGAGTCCTTTTGACACATCTGCCTACTGCCTACCCACTAAACACCAACTTTTCTGCCTTACCATCAAGCCCGATCCATACAAAACTTGGAACATTTCACTCATGACCTCATTGGCCTTGCTGGGCTGCGCCGACCGCCTGCAAGGGTGACTGTCGGCCTTGGAGCTGGAGCCGGTCCTCTTCGGTGGTTTGATCCCCAAGTCATTTGAGAAGACTCCCCCAAGTTCTCTTTTTTGCCTAGGTGCAATGGCCTCCAACCCAATAGCAATCCCCAAGTCACTTCCGCAAGTTCTGCACAAAATGACGAGAAGAACGGCGGGGGAGAACTGCATTTGCAACGGCAGTCCCTGCCATCTTGATGGCCCGAAAAGGGAAGACCATTGAGATCCCACTTAGTGCCAACAGCTTAGGGGCGAGACCCCCTATGGCCAATAAAGCCTCCTGTTTTCAAACGATTTCCACCTCAGAGCTTGGTCTCTGTCACCAGTTCCAAACATGGAGCCAAACATGCAGCCCAGCAGCCGTCCAGCCGGCGCATCATCAGCATCTCGCAGTCACCTGGGAAAATGCGACGGACACTGATGGCGCATCACGCGCCATCCTGGAGCAAGCTGACTTGTGAGGCTCGCGCCTATGGTCAGCACGGCCACCATCGGATGCAACCTGGCATCCCCATGTCTTTTCTGAATTTTGCTAGTTTGGTGAGCTACATGGCTAAATACATGTTGGTCTCATAATCTAATACAACTGCGTACCGAGCTGTGTTAAAAGCCCTTCGAATAATTGATTTGTACTCCCACACAACATTGTAGGAACCAAATGATTAGTGCGAGCGCTTCTTCAATGAAGCGTGAGTTATCCTGCATCCAGCAGCTAGGAGCTAACTTAACCCTCTCTTAATTCAGTAGGCACAAACGAATTACGTAAGGAGGCTAAGGCCACGGGCTTTTGAAAAAAGGAAGAAAGAAACAGCACAGTTGCCAAAGACTACGAATGGACTGGCCAGGGTCCCTCGTCGAGACCCTCAACTCTTCGGACTGAGCTCAGAAACTTTCCATGGACCCTGGTGCTGTTGTCCAGGACGGCCAAGAGGATGGTTGTGGAACCCAAGCCTGTCACGAGTCAGAACTCGCGTCCAACAGAGCTTGGAACGTTTGAAGATGCAAGTGTTGTTTCCAGGCCAATTTCAGGAGAATCTGAATCTGATGACACTTCCTTTAGGCAGTAGGCAGGACATTTATCCTGGCATTGCGCCCACATGAGCAGTGTTCTCTTAAAGGCACCATCATGCCACCGAGGCGCTCTCAGTCTCCTCGTAGGCCTCCTTCAGCAAGGCGACCGGACCACGGTAGGCATCCTGAGCCACACGACGCGTCGTTCCCTGCGGCACTTCGGTTGACGAACAGCACTGTGGAGGCGCTTCGGCCTGTGGGTTTGCAGGACGATCTGGGATCAACTGGTTCATGCCCATGTCCTGGCCGCAACACAAATGTGGGCCAGTGGCGCTGCAGAAAGCAAGATCATGTTTCCTCGCCCGGAAATTGATCTATTTTTGAAAATGGCTTCAGAAAGTATCGTCTTCTACTTGCTAGAGTGTTACAGGATGGTTTGAGAGCCCGCTTTTTTGCTCCAAAAATCCATCAGGCGCATCCACACTCAAACATAGCACTTGGATCCCAGTCCTCACAGACTCTCAGAAGCTCCTGGCTGCAGGTCAGAGTAGCTTCGGATGAGAAAAGGGCAGATGTTTGGCCTGGGAACTGCCATTCGTAATCTTTAAACATTTTGTCCTTGCAGGCTTTGCAGGCTTCAAGAGAGAACTCAGAGAATCAAGATTAGAGATTTCAACACTAAAGCCTGGTTGCAGCTGCCGTGAGTGACCATCTTTCTCCAACCAACACTTGGCAAGATAGTTGAACGAAGCCATCGAAGCCGGCATTGCTCAAACACAGGTGAAACCATGAAACAACCATGAAACCCTTCAGCTACAGACAGACTATGGGTCAGTTTGTTCCAAACCAAAATCATGTGTTAAAAAGTTTAAAGACAAGGAGCCCCAACGTTGATTTACGGTGCCCCCTACCATCGTTTGCGGAAAAACATCTGAATCACACCATGTCGCTCCGTGACATGATAACACAACAGACAAAACGTGATTGCTTTCGGATGCTTCTAGTGCAAGTAATGTAATGTTTAATTCGTATTCAGCAGGTCATCCTTCCCCCCCAAAAAAGAGAATTGGAGACGTACCCGCCCCCCTTATTGTTACGAATGTAACATGAAAATTCGCCTCAACCTAGACCTCGTCCTGCAGGTCCTGGTCGCTAATCCCCCGGCTCACCAAGCTGAAAACCGGCGGGTTCCCCGGCTTTGGGAAGCTCTGAGGCGTCCATCCCGAACTCCTCCAACTGTGACCTCGAGTGTTCAAAACCGACGAGGAGAAGGCCTGGTTTTGTTCACTCGGGTTCCCACAAGGTGCGTAACCAGACCCGGATGTGGGATGGTCTGCCAACCATATGGGCATCAGTGCCAAAAGTTGGGTGTTTGATTTTGACCCACAACAATATGCAGCTGCATAGAAGATAGGTCTCCTTCCACTAGCTCCTCCAGCGATGTATTTTCGTACAACGAATCTGCCTGGGCATTGCCCTCCCGAGGCCGCAGCACACCGTCGGCGACGCCCAAGATCATCGGTGAGGCCAACGTGGCGTCCGCATCCTCCGTGGGACGGTTTGTCGTCGTGGTGACCGGTCACCACCACGGACTTTCGAACTGAAGACGACCCCGTTGGTTGTGGGCGACCCCAAAAACCCGTTCATCCAATCTATACAAAATCAAATCCTATGTCATATGTCTAACGATCCGTGACACTGCGATGCCATTCTCCCTCCAACTGTGGAACTCACGAAGCCCGAGGGAAAGACAAAAATGAGGACTTCCTTTGGATATGACTCGAAAGAGGAAAGTCCACGTAAAAGCACGGGTGAAGCCAACATCTGCTGCATTTCGTGCTGGCCAGGTCTTTTCCGCGTAGCGGCTACGCACTGCGTGCGTGCTCAGGTCTTGCCAGCTCTCCAGGAGTTTCCTGGAGCCATGTCTTCTGTCGGGATGGGATAACTGCTCCACCTTGTAAATAGCAAAAATGGAATACAGGATAAAAGGCTGACAACCTAGCTTGGCAAGTAGAAACCCTCGCTATATTTGAAAGAAGTCCTGTAATCCGCTTCCATAAAAATCCTTGAATCCTTTGCGCGGCCCATCAAACCTGCCCGCTGACACCAAACAACTCTATCCGAGGGCGCCGGTGCGGCGTGTGCCAAAGCGCACAGTGCGCGCAAGAGGCGACCAAACGGGCTGACTTCGCTCTGCAAAGGTGCGCTTAGAAGGCCAGAGATTGACTGCAAAAATAGGTAATCAAATGATCATTATACCACAATTACACGGGATTGTGACTTCAACCGTTTCAAAGGAATGAATCCACATCAACACCAGCCTTCAATCAGGCTCTCGCGTCTTGCCAGCTGAACAGAGGTTCAGCTTTAGCTTTTAAGACGTCTAAAAGATGCAAAAAAAAACAAGGTCGGCCTGTGGAATGGCACGCAACTTGACCGATCACTGGTGACTTTTCAAGCTGTGTCTCACGATGATCTGTGACATGTTCGTTACACATCCTTATCAGTCATCCAAATGACAGGCCACCATACTTCCGGAGAGCAGTCCCCCAGGTTTGGCTGCACGCCGCAGCATACAAACTTCGGTGAACTCCATGATGTCACTTCAGGTATGGCCTCATTGCAACCTAATAGCGATGGCCTCCAACCCAGAAGCGATGGCCTCCTATATTGCAGGGAACATGTCTGTGGGGAGATATCTAAAAAGATCCAACTTCAGCCATCACCACCATCACTATCAAGGAAACGCCGTTCGTCTGACTATCAGGACCACACTTTGGCCTGTTGGCAAACACCATGTTCCCCCCCACAAGTTCATTGAAACATATTAAATATATTGTATGAAATAGTCTGAAAAAATCGAGGAGTGGCAATAGGAAAAAGTGACGTCATGGCAGATCGATGCGTTCATCCTTCCTGTCCTTTCCCGACCGCCTTTGGAAAGCTCGAAACCAACACTGGACCGGTCGTTGGACTTGAAAGCTTCAAAAATGGTGCATCCTCTGACATCGAGGGATGAAGCTGGCCCTAAATCCAGCTACAGTCTCACCTCGACGATATCCCCATTTGTTGTCTGCTGCCAACCACAACTCTCAACGATGTCTTCATGGTCGACTGCAAATGACACACGATTTCCCGACTTCCTGCTAGCATCCACTGCCAATGAGGCATTGGGAGCTGGCGGTCGAGAATCTACACCCGCAGAGGATTGCCGGGCAAAACCCTTGGATTCCATGGATAGACGGAGATGGTTGATGTCCAAATCCGGCGGAGGGCTCGGTGCAAAGGAGCTTTGTGTCCCAAACTCTCGGGAGACCTGTTGGCAAACAATTCGAGCAACAAGCACAAAGCATCCTTACCAAACATTGAAACGGAAGACGGCTCTTTCCACTTACATGCTGTAGTTTTCCAGTGCTATTCATCTCCCCAGTCCCATTCGATTAGAATTCATGGTTCATCATATTCCATCGTTTGGATCGTCAGGATGGTCTTTCGTTCCCACCTGCGGAGCTTGCAGCAGTGCAGCCGACGACCTCGGCGCATCCCCTCCTTCACCTTCCTCGCCCAGGCGTGTTCGGCGCCGATAGCTCACGATGCGCTTGAAGAGAGAGGGTCGCTGCTCCACTTCACCCAAGAACGTATCCAAGGTGAGCATCCAGTACTGGTGCAGATTCCTCCATGCAGTTTTTGGAGGAGAACTGATATGAGACTGCATCACTGCCAAAGAATAGTCATGGAACGATGTTCCTCCTACATGAGCAAGAGATCAAAAGGAGCAGGGCAAGTCCCCAGCACGGCTTGTCATACAGCCAGTCTCTGAGCCGAGAGGGTGCCCCCTTATTCCACCTGGGTGGCTTTGCTACACAGCGAAGTCCCCGCAGCCCGGGGCAAAAGGTCAAGTGGACTCAGATGCATTGAGTGCGATGTGTCCTGGCCATTGTTACTAGGGAGGCGCTCTTAGGTTGGAGGCCATCGCTATCATGTACCTACACACTGACAGATCGGGCCCTCCCCGCCTGTCTGGTTGTCGACTGCGAGAAGACCGATGAATCCAGGAGGACCATGATGCGCGGTTCACTTCACCCGTGTCATGTACCTCCTGGAGGTGGGTGGATCCGATGAATGTGGCCATCTAAACCATGCACCCCTGGAGATCACAGACTTTAAACAGGCACAGGCCCTTGTATTTACAGTATTTCACTATATATCCCCCATAAATAAAGATTGCAATGTCATTCTTTCCTCGGCTGAAATGAGAATCTCGCTCCAGATGTTTCGTCAGCCGAGCATCTCCCATCTCCACAAAATGGTTCAAAAAGGCGCATACAGAGAGGAACGAACAAACAAACGAACAAATGGACGAACAAAGGAACAAACAAACAAGCAAACAAACAAGCCAGGAAGCCAGCAAGCAAGCCAGCAAGCAAGCACGCAGGCCAACTAAACCATCACTGCCTGTATCCCCAACAGTATTTGACTCATCGAGTATCCATGTCCTCGATGGAAAAGTCCCCAACGGAAATACGGCTGCCACGCGTAGCAGTCGATCCAGTGGAACTCCTCGCTTCGTCATTCGAGCTGCCACATCCCATGGCGCCCGGGTGAACCGCTTGACGGAGCCCAGACGCTTGCAGTCACGGCCATGGTCACACTAGTAACAAGGGCATCGCTACTAGGAGCAAGGACGCTACTAGTGGCTCCTGGCCTTACTAGGAACAAGAAGCTACTAGTAACAAGGGCATCGCTACTAGGAACAAAATGAACTCAAACGATTCAATTCCGCTATAGATACCGGTTGATCATGGTCGATCGAAATAAGAGCTGTTATGTGAGTGGTGAACGAGGGTACAGATCAAGGGAGGAATCAGTCTACCAGTCTAAGCAACCATAGGCATGTGGCTCAGGCTCGGCTCAATTCGCATGCAAACCGCCCTACTCCGCAGGTTCGAAAGGAAAATCCACATGCGATCTTTCTCCCATGAGGCCCAGGTCTCGGACCTCGCGACGCGTCCAAGATCGACTTGTCTCTTGAACCCACGCAACCAGGCCTTGTGACCAAGACTTGTTTTCTTCGGATGCGTCCTTTGATAGGTCTTGGCCTCGGATGTCATCGCAGGGAGTCGGTCATCGACTGGAAGAAACGCTCGATGACTTAACCCCCGACGAGAAGTTGGCCGTTTCTAGGTGAACAGGACAGTTTGAGCCGTTCCTCTGGAGCACAATGAATCCTTGAGCCTCGCATTGTCATGTACGAGCCAAGAGGCCAAGTGGCCAACCTGTAACCTAGGCAACGTGCCTA